GTCAAAATATTGTAAAAGAAATCATAATGCAATCAAAATATACCACATTAAACACTGTTTTAATAACATTTACTTACTTATATATTTAGGTATACTTATTGCAAAAAAAAAAAAAACAACAAAAAAAACAGTCTATTGCAGCATATGCTGAATTGAGAGACTGAATACAAAATTGGGACCTTTAATTTACAATAATTTTAAAATTTACAAATCATTAGTAAAATAGTGCAATATTAAATATTAAAATTTAAATACCTGTTTCACAGAATTGTCCGGTGTAGCAAGATGGACAGGAACATGTGTATTGTGTACAGGAACCAGCAACCTGGACACAGCCAGCTCCATTCTGACAACCATGGTTGTCACATGCATTCAATACTGGAAAAAAAAAACACATTTAGCATGATAAAGAGAACATTAGTATGGCCAAAAAAACACTGTTAAAATCGGATAGACAATATTATAACATAACATTTAACACTGACATATAAACAGATAAATTAACTTAATTAAAGCGACAGAAACAACATAGAATACATACAGTCTCATATATAAAAAAAAAAAAAAAATAACTACAATTAATTAAATAAAATTGAATCTTGAAACTAACATGTTTCACAGAATTGTCCAGTGTAACATGATGGACAGGAACATGTGTATGCTGTACAGGAACCAGCAACCTGCACACAGCCAGCTCCATTCTGACAAGCATGGTTGTTACACGCATTCAATACTGAAAGAAATGAAAAACATGTTAAAACATGTACAAGGTATTAAAATACAACATAGGTATGGTAAAAAAATCAGCTAAAATCGGACAGACAATGTTTCAAAGAATTGTCCTGTGTAGCATGATGGACAAGTACATGTGTATGCTGTACAAGAACCAGAAAGCTGGACACAAGCAGCTCCATTATGACAAGCATTGTTGGTACAAGCATTCAACAGTAAGTTGAATATCAAAAGGCCAATTATAAAAATACTCATTCGGCAATTAGCAGCTTTGTTTAAGGTTTTAGATCAAAAACAAAAAGCTGTTTCATTCTGACAAGAATTCTTCAAACATGCAACCTACACAAATAATAAACTTACATAAACAAAAACAAAAGACATACATTGGAACATGGTAAAATTGTTGTGCTTGAGCCAGAAATTGGGAAAAAGTCAACTTTTTCCTACAAGCATTAAAACAATACTTCAACACTAATAAATGCAAAGACAACATAATACAAATATAAAAATATAACTTAAAACTCACAAGTTTCACAGAATTGTCCGGTATAGCAATTTGGACAGGAACATGTGTAGGCTGTACAGGAACCAGAAACTTGGACACAGGCAGCTCCATTCTGACAGGCATTGTTGTTACAAGCATTCAACACTGATATAAAAAGGAGCACATTAATAGAAAAAGGACAAGACAACAACAGGACACAAATCTGCTCACGTCAGACAAGAACTGTTAGAAAAAGCACTGATCACCCGCATGTAAATTGACAATACAACAAAACATAGACAGAAACAACACATAATATGCAAAGACTTACATTAAACATATATATACTCGGTATGTAACAACAAAATGTAATTTGAAACTCACAAGTTTCACAGAATTGTCCAGTATAGCAATTTGGACAGGAACATGTGTAGGCTGTACAGGAACCAGAAACCTGGACACAGCCAGCTCCATTTTGGCAAGCGTTGTTGTTACACGCATTCAACACTGATATGAAAAGTAGAAACACATTGGATCAACAGAACATATTTTCTAACAATCCAGCTCCTATCTGTAAAAAGCTTCAAACACTGACAATAAAGACAGATAGTACAACACAATAAAAAAACAGACACAGAATAAAACAAGCTTGACATTTAACATCTACACTACTTAAATAACAAATGAAATTTGAAACTCACAAGTTTCACAGAATTGTCCAGTATAGCAATTTGGACAGGAACATGTGTATGCTGTACAGGAACCTGAAACCTGGACACAAGCAGCTCCATTCTGACAAGCATTGTTGTTACAAGCATTTAACACTGATACGAAAAGGAACACATTAATACAACATGGACAAATGAAAACAAATCAGCTCCAATCAGATAAAAACTGTTAGAAAAAGCAATGAACACTCGCATGTAAATTGACATTACAACACAAAAAAGACAGAATATGTAAATGCTTACATTAAAGATACACAACTAGGTAACAAATGTAATTTGAAACTCACAAGTTTCACAGAATTGTCCAGTATAGCAATTTGGACAAGAACATGTGTAGGCTGTACAGGAACCAGAAACCTGGACACAGGTACCTCCATTCTGACAAGCATTGTTGTTACACGCATTCAATACTGATACATAAACAGTAGAAACACATTAGAAAAACAGAACATATGTTCTAACAATCTAGCTCTAATCTGTAACACTGACATAAAGACAGATAGTACAACACAATAAAAAAGACAAACACTGATTAAAACAAGCTTGACATATAACATCTACACTCCTTAAGCAATAAATGAAACATATGTTCTAACAACCAGGTCCAGTCTGTAACAAACTATAAACACTGACATGTAGACAGATAGTACAACACAATAAAAAAAAAAACAAATACTGAATAGAAACCAGCTTGACATCAAACATCTACACTACTTAAATGATAACTGAAACTCACAAGTTTCACAGAATTGTCCAGTGTAGCAATTCGGGCAGGAACATGTGTATGCTGTACAGGAACCAGAAACCTGGACACAGGCAGCTCCATTCTGACAAGCATTGTTGTTACAAGCATTCAACACTGATATAAAAAGGAACACATTAATAGAACATGGACAAAATAAAACAAATCAGCTCCAATCAGACAAAAACTGTTAAAAAAAGCAATGAACACTCACATGTAAATTGATATTACAACACAAAAAAAGACAGAAACAACACAGAATATGTAGAGGCTCACATTAAACATATACATATTTGGTAACAAACGTAATTTAAAACTCACAAGTTTCACAGAATTGTCCTGTATAGCAATTTGGACAGGAACATGTGTATGCTGTACAGGAACCAGAAACCTGGACACAGCCAGCTCCATTCTGACAAGCATTGTTGTCACAAGCATTCAATACTAAAATAAAAAGTAGAAACTCATGAGATAAACAGAACATATGTTCTAATGACCAGGTCCAGTCTGTAACAAACTATAAACACTGACATGTAGACAGATAGTACAACACAATAAAAAAAAAAACAAATACTGAATAGAAACCAGCTTGACATCAAACATCTACACTACTTAAATGATAACTGAAACTCACAAGTTTCACAGAATTGTCCAGTATAGCAATTTGGATAGGTGATCCGCTAACGTTAGCGGATCACCAAATAAGCTTTTGGGCTGATTTTCTGACATGTTATTTAAAAAATCATAACTCCATAACGGGGCGTCGTATCCAAAAAGTGTTTCCAGGAAAATGTTCTTAAACTGTCTCTTATACACATCTAGATGTGTATAAGAGACAAGGTTGGAAATGGTAGAGGAAGTTTTAATGATAGATGAGCCAATATGGAGTGAGTTGATGTTAATTATTGAGCTAGATTTATTAGTGACGAAGATGATGAATTCGGTTTTATTTTCGTTTAGCATAAGCATGTTATTGGACAGCCAACTGTGGATGTCGTGGAGGCAGGTTTCGAGACGTGTTTGAATGAAATCAGACATATAGTACAACACAAAACAAAAAAAAAACCAAATACTGAATAGAAACCAGCTTGACATCAAACATCTACACTATTTAAATGATAACTGAAACTCACAAGTTTCACAGAATTGTCCAGTGTAGCAATTCGGGCAGGAACATGTGTATGCTGTACAGGAACCAGAAACCTGGACACAGGCAGCTCCATTCTGACAAGCATGGTTGTTACAAGCATTCAACACTGATATGAAAAGGAACACATTAATAGAACAAGGACAAATGAAAACAAATCAGCTCCAATCAGACTAAAACTGTTAAAAAAAGCAATGAACACTCACATGTAAATTGACATTACAACACAAAAAAAGACAGAAACAACACAGAATATGTAGAGGCTCACATTAAACATATACATATTTGGTAACAAATGTAATTTAAAACTCACAAGTTTCACAGAATTGTCCTGTATAGCAATTTGGACAGGAACATGTGTATGCTGTACAGGAACCAGAAACCTGGACACAGGCAGCTCCATTCTGACAAGCATTGTTGGAGCAAGCATTCAATACTGATATAAAAAGGAACATATTAATAGAACAAGGACAAAACAACAAGACACAAATCTGCTCCAGTCAGACAAAAACTGTTAGAAAAAGCACTGATCATCCACATGTAAATTGACAATACAACAAAACATAGACAGAAACAACACAGAATATGTAAAGGCTTACATTAAAAAATATATATATATATATACTTGGTATATAATAACAAAATGTAATTTTTTTTGCAATTTTTCTCATGTTTTTTAATGTTTTGTCCATTCTTGTTGCAATTTTATATATAATACAGTATTTTTAATATTCTTGCATTTTTTAATATATTCTATTTTTGTAAATACATTCATTTCAGTCTTTGGCTGATGTTTGTATATTTCCTTTCATGCCTTTATAAATAAATAAATAATTAAATACAATTATATTCAATTAAAAAAATCTGAATCAAGATATGTGTACTATGAAAACTCACATGTTTCACAGAATTGTCCAGTGTAGCAATTTGGACAGGAACATGTGTAGGCTGTACAGGAACCAGAAACCTGGACACAGCCAGCTCCATTTTGGCAAGCATGGTTGTTACATGCATTCAATACTGGAAAAAAAAGTAGAAACACATTAGATAAACAGAACATTAGTTCTAACAATCTAACTATAATCTGTAACAAGCTTCAAACACTGAAATAAAGACAGATAGTACAACACAATAAAAAAGACAAACACTGAATAAACAAGCTTGACACATATAACATCTACTGACATTACTACAGTAATAAATGGAACTTGAAACTCACAAGTTTCACAGAATTGTCCAGAGTAGCACGATTGACAGGTACATGTGTATGCTGTGCAGGAACCAGCAACCTGGACACAGGCAGCTCCATTCTGACAAGCATTGTTGTTACAAGCATTCAATACTGATATGAAAAGGAACACATTAATACAACATGGACAAAATAAAACAATTCAGCTCCAATCAGACAAGAACTGTTAAAAAAGGCAATGACAGCCCACATGTAAATTGACAACAAAACACAAAATAGACAGAAACAACACCGAATATGTAAAGGCTTGCATTAAACATATACAGTTGGACTTATCCAAGTCGAATACAAAATGCCATTGAAATATTGTTTGACTTAGATAGATTTCGACTTACAGATTGTTAAGGGAAAACACAACAATTTGACATGTAAAATAAGATCGACTTAGAAATTATTCGACTTATAAATTATTCGACTTATAAATTTTTCGACTTATAAATTTATCGACTTAGAAATTATTCGACTTAGGCACAGTCGACTTAGGCAAGTTTAACTGTACGTACGCAGTGCTTATACATGCATTGAATACTGATATAAAAAGTAGAAACACATAAGATAAACAGAACATATGTTCTAAAAATCCAGCTCCAATATGTAATAAGCTTCAAACACTGACATAAAGACAGGTAGTACAACACAATAAAAAAAAACAGATACAAAATAAAACAAGCTCGACATACATCTACACTACTTAAATAATAAATGAAATTTGAAACTTACAAGTTTCACAGAATTGTCCAGTATAGCAATTTGGACAGGAACATGTGTAGGCTGTACAGGAACCAGAAACCTGGACACAGGCACCTCCATTCTGACAAGCATGGTTGTCACAGGCATTAAGCACTGACATAGAAAGAAATAACAGATATCGCTCAAACTATATGTTTAAGTATTTGAAACTTAAGTGAATAACAAACTATTGAATAACAAATAGTTTTGGTTAAGCAAATGTGCAGACTATCACATTTTATTTGCCACAAACATGGGACATGCTTAAATGTATTTATTATGACATCACATCATAACCATATATAGGCACATCATAACTATATATGGGCATACAAGAGTTTTTATGTCAAATAAAATTTAATAGAGTGCACTGAGATTTAGAAGGCTAAAAACAACATAGCATAGTGTGAATAGAGCAAACAAGAAAAGTAAACCCCTCAGGGAACTGAACCAGAGACTTTTCAAAGCACTTTTCCGGACACTATGCCAAATTAACTAAGTCAGCAAAACTTGTTGCAAGCTGAGTAGTATTTTGGGAATTACTTTGGTAATTGAGGTACATAGAAAACACATTTGAATTAGGTATGTGGCAAGCTAGGCAATGATAGCAATGTATATCCATGGAGGAATTAGTTAACTAATTCCTTCATGGTCTATCATTCATCAGATTAGCTGAGACTGTTCTATTTTATTCCAAGGGGTGTTCAGGTTTGGGAACAAATGCAATTGGCTTATCCAGGTAAGTAATTCAGGAAATAGACTAGCTGAAGAGAATAAATCAATCTAAATATTTATTTATGTTTGGAAATATCTATTATTCATCAGATTAGCTGGAACTGTTCTATTTTATTCAAAGGGGTGTTCTATTTTGGAAAAGGTAATTTGTTCATTTATCCAGGTAAGTATTCACAAAATAGACTAGCTGGGTAAAAGAAATCAGTATAAATATTTGGTTATGTCTTTTTTCAACATAACGTCCTCAGATTAATGAGTGCCTTCAAATGAATAGGAAGTGTTATAAAACAATCATAGAATGAGGACGCACACGCACACATGCGTTTGATTGCACGACGACGGTAGGACGTAGAACGTAATGACATCGAATTATTGCGGTCGCATAGAATCTAGGACGCAAAGGTTCCCTATTGTTGCTAAAGTCCCACGAAAAAAGTGTTAGAACATATGCAACACATCTGTTTCTTAGACATGCGCATATTCCTTGCCTCATTCTGGTTGGTCAGTTAAGTTTGACTGACAGTTAAGAAAGATCCATTATCATTACAGGTGTTAATTGTACTATAATTAAAGGTTGATGAACATACAAGTTTCACAGAATCGTCCAGTGTAGCATGATGGACAGGTACATGTGTATAGTGTACAGGAACCAGAAACCTGGACACAGCCAGCTCCATTCTGACAAGCATTGTTGGAACAAGCATTCAACACTATAATGTAACAAGCATATGTTAACTAAGTCATATACTAACACAGTAGTTAAATATTGTGTTATAAAACAAACATACTTTTTATTTACTACTGTTTGTCAAAGAATTAAACCAGTAACATACAAAGCTAAAGTAAATAATGCAAAACAAAAATTAAATAATGACTACAGCAGCATATCTAGAAGCCTTGAAATTCGGGGGGGGGGGGGATAAGAGCTGATAAGGGGTGCAAAGTTTATGTGGAGAGCGAGTTCAATGATAAGGTGATGGGCACCTGCTTCAAAAAATAAGGTAATTTGAGGTGATGTTTAACTACTTGAACACAATCTTTAGGGGGATGCCTGTGAGGTATTGAAATTCCCCTAGATACCACTACAGGGTAGATGACTAAAAGCACTTCTTGATACTAAATGTATGGCCAGAGCTATGAAAAACACATTAGCTGTGATCATGTGGCAAATATTATCAATATATCTATAAACTCACAAGTTTCACAAAATTGTCCAGTGTAACATGATGGACAGGAACATGTGTATGCTGTACAGGAACCAGAAACCTGGACACAAGCAGCTCCATTCTGACAAACATGGTTGTCACAAGCATTCAACACTATAAGGGAACATGCAAATGTTAAACTAAATGATACTGCTTACTATTTTTTATACTATTGCTATACATATATATAAATAATATATAAATTTAAATATTAAACATTTTGGAAATTATTACTCTATGAAGGCTGAAAACAAGATTGGTCAAATACATTAATTAAGTTTTTTCACAAAATTAATTTGCTGAAACTCACAAGTTTCACAGAATTGTCCAGTGTAGCAATTTGGGCAGGAACATGTGTATGCTGTACAGGAACCAGAAACCTGGACACAGGCAGCTCCATTCTGACAGGCATGGTTGTTGCAAGCATTTAACACTGAAAAAGAAAATTCAATTGTTATTGAAATTATAAAAAAAATATATAAAAAATCTATTGTGTAAAGCTTTGTCTACTGTTTTCTGTGACAAACACACGTAGTTCACATGCTGGGTCAATCAGACGGTTCTATTTTTGTGGTGGGGGTGTTTTTAAAGGAACAGTGGAAATTAGTCGGTTTATCCAGGAAAGTATTCACAAAATAGACACATATGATTTGTCCATATATGGGTATGATATATAAATATTTGTACAATTTCTTAAATATCTGTCAGAAACCTTGAAAGCTTTAGGCTATACAAAAACAAGCAGCATTCCTAGAGAACAAGTGACATTCCTAAAGAAAAAGTGACATTGTTAGAGAATAAATGTCACTGCTAGAGAACAGGTGACATTCCAAAAGAAAAAGTCGAATTGCTAGAGAACAAGTGACATTGCTAAGAAACAAGTGACATTGCTAGAAAACAAGTGACACTGCTAGACAACAAGTGAGACTCATTATCCCTTTGTTTATACTCAGTCACCATCCACCCTTTTGTTCTTACTGTATATATGACCGCACTTTTATCCTATTTGTACATTCACCTGAAGAAGACCACTGCGTGGTTGAAAGCTTGTGATTAAATAAATTTCTTAGTCTGAAAAGTGCTGTTTGTCCTTCATTTACTGTTATTTTTTTTAGAATATGTTTATTTCAATTTTACACAAATTATTACTTACAGGTTTCACAGAATGTTCCAGTGTAGCATGTTGGGCAACTGCATGTGTATTGTGTACAGGAACCAGTAACCTGGACACAGCCAGCTCCATTCTGACAAGCATTGTTGTTACAAGCATTCAATACTGAAATTAATTAAAACATGGGTTATAAAATTAGATTATACATTTGTAACTCTGACAGAGACTTAGTAGGAAATAATATAAGGCTTTGATTTATTAGGCACTTGAGAATACATTAATAAATATAAATAAATACGTATTTAATTGTATATACTTTAAACGTCTTATTCTTTAATCATAAGATTTTCAAACTGATCTTTAGAAATAAAATGCTCAAAGCATAGACATAATATAATAGCTTTTTTATAGTTAATAATTTAACAAATTTTAACAGTTTAACAAGCATTTAACGCTGAAATTAAAAGAAAAAGGTTAAATACGGACTAAAAAAGTATTACAAATACTATTTTAGCAAATTACACATCTATTGTAATTTATACATAAAAAAAAGAACACTAAATACAACCATGTTTCACAAAAGGTCACTGTGTAACATGATGGGTAGGTACACGTCCATGTCAAGAAATCTGGACACTGCAGCTCCTTTCTGACAAGCATTGTTGTTACATGCATTCTACACTGACATAATAATGAGTGACAGAATATTCTAATAAGTAAATATTGTATATCACAAACTTCCATTCATAGTAAATTTGTTAGAAGATTAAATCTTACATGTTTCACAAAAATTTCCAGTGTAGCATGATGAACAGGCACATGTGTATGCTGTACAGGAACCAGAAACCTGGACACAAGCAGCTCCGCTTTGGCATGCATGGTTATCACAAGCATTCAATACTGACATAGAAAAGAATGAAAATACCAGAAATAGATACATTTACAAACCTGAGTAAACAGGTGAAATGCTAAAGCATTTAACATTGGTTGACATAACGCAAGTAAGGTCCAATAGAAATCTGGCTTATATTGGGACATCAAGGTAAGTATTCAAAAGGTAGCTAGTAACAAGTTTTTAGCACTAATGTTAAGAACAGAATAAGTTATATCGTAGAGGTACTTAAGGAAGGAATAAGATGTATACTTACCAGACTACAATTATTACAAAAATTATAGCCATCTAATAGTAATGATAATAATAATAAATATCTATAAAGCACCAATAGCACTTAGCGGAATAAAAAATCAAAGGCACATGTTTATATGTGAAAAGTTATATGTTTAGAGAGGGAGTTCCAAAATGTGGCAGCTGGAAATAAAAATGATCTGTGGCCGTAGGATTTTGTACTAACACATGGCACAGTGTGCAAATTAAGATCAGAAGAACGGAGGGAGGATAATAAGACATACTTAGGAAGCAGCTCGAGTAGGTAAGTAGGTTGTTGTAGCCGGGCTAATTGCAAATGTGTAAGCAAAATATATTCATAAAATTGGAACTCACAAGTTTCACAGAATTGTCCAGTGTAGCAAGATGGACAGGTACATGTGTATGCTGTACAGGAACCAGAGACCTGGACACAAGCAGCTCCATTCTGACAAGCATTGTTGTTACAAGCATTCAATACTGAAATAAATATAAGTAAAATGTTAATATATACAGAACAAAAAACAACATTGATGGTAAAATTTTATCTTAATATGGAAATACCTATTCACTAAAGTCTTACAAAGAAATAGGGGGGAACCAAGACTAAAAACTAACATGTTTCACAGAATTGTCCAGTGTAGCATGATGGACAGGTACATGTGTATGCTGTACAGGAACCAGCAACTTGGACACAGGCACCTCCGTTTTGACAAGCGTGGTTGGAACAAGCATTCAATACTGAGTTTTTTTGGGAAGTAGAGTAGAAAGCCATGTGTTAAAAGACAATTTATTTTCATTATTATTGGCTTTGTATTTTTTCAATTGTGCCATTTCTCTAGAGATTAAATATGTGCACCATATAATTAACTGTATTATTTTTGATTGATTGTTCTAAAAAATATGATCAATATAAAAATAGTAACATTAAAAATATATAATTTTAATAATTTTGATTATATTATTAAATAAATGAATATAACATGGATTCAAACAAACAATTACAATCTTGAAATATACTCACAAGTTTCACAGAATTGTCCAGTGTAGCACGATGCACAGGTACATGTGTATGCTGTACAGGAACCAGAAACCTGGACACAGGCAGCTCCATTCTGACAAGCGTTGTTGTTACAAGCATTCAACACTAATATTTAAGAGTGGATTGAAATTGAAAAACTGGATTATAGAGATAACCAACATAATTCTTATTTTCAAAATGAATAATTGATTTGACAGATAATTCTAATATATATATATCATACATACATATATGTATATTGAAAAGTATTTACGAGGTTAATGTTTATTGTCTGTGGTAAAAATTGACACCTTATCAATCAAAATACAAAAAGTTAGTTACATAAACTTACAAGTTTCACAGAATTGTCCAGTGTAACATGATGCACAGGTACATGTGTATGCTGTACAGGAAC